GCAACGATGGAGTATCCTGGTATGTTGTAGAACAAACTAGTGGCACCAGCAACGATGGTTTGTTCTACAACATACCAGGATACTCTAGTGGCACCAGCAACGATGGAGTATCCTGGTATGTTGTAGAACAAACTAGTGGCACCATCAACGATGGTTTGTTCTACAACATACCAGGATACTCTAGTGGCCAGCAACGATGGTTTTTTCTACAACATACCAGGATACTCTAGTGGCGCCAGCAACAATGGTTTGTTCTATCAAGTTTCAAACTTATTTATTTTCTCAAAAGAATCTACGATATTACATTACTTGCGAGGCTTATCACGCACCGCAGTGAACAAAATGTGGCTGGTTACTTGTAAGGTTGAAATGGCTATGTCCCTAGCTCCTATAGAAACACGGTCCCGCATGATAAAGTGGGAAAAAAGTTACAGATTCTTCGCCGAACAGCTAGAAATATTGAAACTTTACTACCCTTCACTGAAGATACAACCAACATTCTGCTATTTCTAAACCTACAGCAGTGCTTCAGTAAATCAGAACCATTCATGGTGACAGCTGTTTGCTGCGTAACAAGTATTCCTTCATTATAATATAACAGAAATGATTAATTGTTTTGTATTTCATGTTAAAACAGACATTTATAAATCATCTTAACAATAATATTCTACTAAAAGTCAAAGAATTATCAGTGTTGGTTGACATAGCAACAACAGTTTTCTTCCAGACTGCACGGAGTAGTTCTGCCTACCCAGACTAGGACCGGTGGAGGATATACCTCTACGGGTCTAAAAATATTCAAATGATCAAAGTACTCTCGAACACCAGACTATATTCAAACTATACAACTGCCTTTCAAAGCTGGTAGATATTAGATAAATCTGAGTGTGGCAGCTTGCAATAAATTCATGTGTATTTGTACATTAGTGGGAAATATTAGTGAACTCCTGCCATAACATGTAAAACTGAGCTGCAGGAGAAAATAATAATTAATTATTACATTATTTTAATCAGGTTAAAAATGGGAGAAAAGCATTTTATGTATTATTCTACTTTAAAGTATTCTGAGTGGACAGAACACAGCTGTCCAACTAGCAGTACATAAAAGTAATGTTAAATTACACCCATAGGGTAGAAAGTCATTACTGAAAACAGATATGTGGAGAAAAAAATGGCTTTAATGTTTAATTTCCTGTTTGAAGCAGAGATCCATATAACCAGTGGGTAAAGAGATAAAAATAACTTTGTAATCCAAAAAAAACTGTGAAATTTAGCCGAAAGACTAATGTATACAGACGTAGTACTGTTAGCAAGAGGAAGGTGTGTAAAGTTATGAACTTAGCAAGTTAAGGTTTCCCACAGAGTGTTATATCTATTACTTCTCGGCTGTAGATTTCAACACAAGATTTTCAAGCCAGATTTTAATTTATCTCTTAAGGAATAACAGAAACCAAACATAAGAGAAACAAAATGATGTGGAGTTAATAAGTACTGATGCAACCCAACGGTTACATCCAACAAGCTATGAAAACAGAATGTGACGTTATCTAAACATAATGGGCACGTACATCACCCGTTCCGTTATTAACTTCTTCTGTTGATCACAGTATTTCAGCCACAAATACACACGGTTGATGAGACCAAATTATTTTATAATTCACAGGGTGTGACATAAAGTGTGCAAGGCCCGGGACCACTAGCTTACTGCGGCAGGCCACAGATCTCGCAGGCCGTACTTCCAGGCTGGTTTAAAAAGGTGCAGTGTCTGCAAGTCCACAGTGCTGATGACGTACTTTGACTGTCTGAAGCCATCCTTGAATCGACCAGTGGTGGCGATGGAGGAGCTACCAGTGACAGAATGTTATCAATAATATTAATAAAGACTTCTAAATGATATCTTATTACCTACCAAAATCTTTACCTGACACATATGTATAGTTATCTAATGTAAACTTCTTTCACAATGTATACAGAACAATTATACATCTAAATGTTTCCACACATTTCTACATGATGTAACACACAATAATTCTATAAATATAACCTTCCCACGTGATGTGCACCTTCATTTCAGAAGACAGTTTAATATTAATCTACTGGCACTACATAGTTACAAGATTCCCAAACACTATAAGACAGTTTAATACTAATCTACTGGAACTATCCAGATACAAGTTACAAGATTCCCAAACACTGTAAGACAGTTTAATACTAATCTACTGGTACTACCCAGATACAAGTTACAAGATTCCCAAACACTGTAAGACAGTAATCTACTGGCTCTACATAAATACAAGTTACAAGATTCCCAAACACTGTAAGACAGTTTAATACTAATCTACTGGCACTACCCAGATACAAGTTACAAGATTCCCAAACACTGTAAGACAGTTTAATACTAATCTACTGGCACTACCCAGATACAAGTTACAAGATTCCCAAACACTGCAAGACAGTTTAATACTAATCTACTGGCACTACCCAGATACAAGTTACAAGATTCCCAAACACTGCAA